AGTAGAACAGCACATCACCAGAGAGATTCAGTTTTGAAAGCTGGAGTTCTCCAAAAGTCTAAAATCCCTCAGCATTTCTCTCCTACTTCCTATCTCCTGCCTTGAGAATTTCAGCAAGTTTTCCTGTCAAAAGTAGCATTTTCATCTCCAGTTTTAGGTCAGTATTTTCATCTTACTACACAGAAATTTTGGCAGCTGTGGCTTCCATCAGTCAGGAATCTACAAGGATATTATTACTAGAAATAGCTACTTCATTTATTAGCCTTAGATTTGCTGAGGAGACCAAAATATTTGCATCCATCCATAGAAAAATTTGTAAAATATGGTTTGATGACTGATTCTAGCATGACTTTAGCTCCAAACTCTGTAATTGAGAAACAGTGCAAACATTGCAGAATAAACATCCTCATTCAGGCTGCACTCCTCCTCCCTGCAATTCTACAATCCCCAACTCTTCTTGTGGTAGAACTGTAACTTTTCACCAGTCTCTGTAAAAAGGTGCAATGGTCTGCTTACAAACAGGGCCCAATGGAAGAACTTTTCAAAGCTAAGTGCTGATAGAAAAAGCTACTTCATTTATTAGGCTTAGATTTGCTGAGGAGACCAAAATATTTGCATCCATCCACAGAAAAAGATTGTAAAATATCAGATTGAAATAGATTGTAAAAATCAGTCACACTGATTCTAGTGTGACTTTAGCTCCAAACTGTAATTGAGAAACAGTGCAAACATTGCAGAATAAACATTCTCATTCTCCTCCCTGCAATTCTACAATCCCCAACTTTTCTTGTGGTACAACCGTAACATTTCACCAGTCTCTGTGAAGAAGCTGCTCACAAACATGGCCCACAGGAAGAACTTTTCAAAGGTAAGTGCTGATTTTTACTGATGGGATGGGGGAAGGAGGACAAGGGCAGAGTGGTTGCTGTTTTTGTGAGCACACAAGCCGAGTGCAGCCACAGCTGCTGAGGAAACCTCAGCACTGAGCTGCTGAGCTGACCCAAATCCAAACTGAAACTGCTGAGACCAAAAGCAGAGCAGCCTGGCTCCAGCCCAGCTGTGTGCTCCCTGCCATGGCCCCTCCTCGAAGCCAGCACACTGAACATGCACCTCAAGAACTGCTCAGTGCTGTGAGACCATTTCAGCTCACATTGGTCACTCAGAGCAGCCTGGCAGGCACTGGCTGCTGAGGATTCAGGGAATGGCCCCACTGACCAAGAGGAAATCCAAATGACCAGCATTTGCACTGGGCAGTGCCATGGCAGATCACTGCACAGATGCACAGGCTGTAAATCCAGCACTCCCACAAGCTGGGGCAGCTCCTCTCAAAACAAAACTGCAGCTGAACACTCCTATACCCACAGGAAAGGAAATACAGCTCACTGTGCTGCCAGAACTGCACATGGACACCAAACTATCCCAAACACAACCTGCTAAAGACTCCTTGTTAGCCAGTCTCTGGTCTCTTTCAAAAAAAGGCACATTAACATATTCTTTTGTATAATGTTTCTTTTGGATTTGGGATAATGGTTTAAAGGAATCCTCAAATGCTTAAACTGCACAAACATGGATTAATTCATGTGTCCCTGTGCTCATAATGAATTATATAAAACATTATTATGAAGAACTGATCAGTACCAACAAATCCAGAGTTCTGCTTTTGGCCCATCCTGGCAGACCATCCTGCTGAATTTGATGGCACTCACTTTTGGGTAAAGTCACAGGTGAGTGACCGAGAGCCACTGAAATTCCAGGCTCTGTGACCAACTGCTCTGGATTAACCCTTGGTGCTGCACACACGCCCATAATTGAGGGATGGATCCCAGAAGAGCTCATCTGTCAGATCAGAGCATGCTGCCCCTCCTCGGGCTCACCAACAGCCAGGGCAGCCCAGGCCAGAGCCATGGCACACCCAGGGATTTGCCATCACCTCCTCTTTCCCACCTCACCAGTGCCAGAACCCCAGGGTTCTGTTTAACATGTTTAACACCCAGCCCAAAACAGAAAAGAGACCCAGATAAACACAAACATCCTATTTCTGCTCACAGAAAGGGTCACCCTGTACAGCCACCTCCACCACTGCACCGACTTCTGGACAGCCAAAAGAATACTATAATTTTAATGATTTTTAAATGACCTAAAATTATAGGTTAAATAAATTTAAAACTCTACTGATAATATTTGCAAAGCTCCAGAAGTTAATAAAATTTTTTGAACCAATATACTTCATTATACCAAAGACTAATTAAATAGCACCAAAGAGCTCATATGGCATGTTATTGTTCTTTGCATCAAAACCAACTAACAAAGTGAACAGAAAATTGAAAGTGTTCACATTTAACAACAGGGTATGGAAAAAAATCCTATTTAAAGGAAAAATGAAGTTGAAGATAAAGTTCTAACTCGTTTATTGATAGGAAAAAAAACATTGCAGGGTTACTGGAATGCAATATATAAGAGAGGAAGAAATGTTTTCATTTGTGTCTAAAGAACGTGAAAAATTACACATATAGATAGAATATTAACAAAAGTATGCACAAGAACACTTATATGTAATTATAAGTGTTAATTACATAACACATCCCCTGCTAAATCCACATTTCCATCCCCATTCCAGGTTTCACAACAGCAGGACTGGGACACCCAGCCCCGTGTGGAGAGCAGGTTGAACCAGAAGTGACATTATGAAATGCTGAGTAGCTTTTTTAAATATTAGTGAGCAAGAACCAAGGTTATCTTAAGGTTTTAATCTTTTGAAGGACCCTTAGCACATCTCCTCCCCCACAATGCTCAGGGTCTGTATTAACCACACCAACCAGGCCTGCATATTTGTGTTTTCACTTTTGGTAACATAACAATCCAACATCAGGAATGCAAACATGGCAAATAAAGAACAAATTCTGCAAAATTCACAAACACACTGCAGATAGCTTCCTGCTTGTTTTCACAAGTAGCTTTCTAAATGAGAACCTCTAACTGAGCAAGGCCAAAATAATTCTCATTTCCACTGTTCTCTTGAAATTCCCTACATACCTGGCTAGCAGATGCACAAAATGAAATATTTTGCATGGAATAATCCCAGTACAGATTTAAACTGCATTCCTTCCATTTGGCTACTCAGCCTCATGCCTTCTGCATGAGTGGTTTTTAAAGGTGAGTCAGAAGACTCCTCTGCTGGGATGGGAACAAAACAGGAGAATTCTCATCCCCTGCTCAGCCCAAGGTCTCCCTGCTGCATTCCTGGTACCTCTATCTCAAGCATAGAGCAGGATTATTGGGCTTTTACTTCCTGTGCTGATAGCACAAAGACAAAACTGATGAGAAATTTTCAATCCCAACAGTGCAATATTGACTGCTCCAAGGGACCAACATTTCAGACAGCAGGGGATGGCTGCCACTCTTTGCAGTGACTGATATTTGAATCAAAAGCTTTCAGCAGCTCCATGAGGAGTTACTCACACCTAACATTCTCTGCAGCTCTAAGGTTTTTTCTTCTCCTCCCAATCTTTCAATACTTTATTTTTAGCATCTATATTTTCAGCTCTTCTCATTAGAGCTATTACAACACAACTGAACAAGATGTTAACACTCAGATTTTTGAAACAGATTTAATAATTACATGATCTGAAAGTAAGATGATGGCAGAATACTGCAGCAGACCACCTAGAAGTAAAAATCAGTTTACTTGAAAAAGAACTGAGGAGCAGGGAGCCCTGGAGTATTATGGCACAACACTTGTTGCACACTATAAACTCCCTGACAATATTGCCTCTCTTAAAGGAAGGATAGAGCATAAAATAAGAATAAAAGTTAGAGCATTGAGTTAAGCATAAAAGAATAAAAATATGCTGCAAGAAGGATGAGGGATTACTGCCTACACAGAAAACCAGATTCCCAAACAGTACCCACAACTGCAAGCAAGGATACAATGGGGTACAAGACTTGCAGAGCACACAACTACTTACCTATGACAACTCTGCCAGACAGATGTGTTCAAGGAACTGCTAACATTAAAAAATACTGTGTTTGAGACTATTGTTTACTGATAACAATCAGCACGAGAGAAATAACATCCACCTGTAAGGAGGCAGGAAGTTTAACGAGCTCTCTCCAAGGGAAAAACGCGGAGCTGTTTTTTTCAAGCTGAGCACGTCCCTTAGGTTTGCTGCCATGCACAGGCCGGTGAGTCTCGGCCAGTGGAATGTGACACCACGATCAGCAGCCCCTCCACCATGCCAGCCAAGTGTCTGCTGTGTTATTACACTGCAGGGAACACACTCCAACCACAGTGGGGTTACACAGTACAAAATGTGAGCAACAGACCTCCCGGGATCCATAAGAAAACCGAAAATAATACTTTCTCATTCTTTTACCAAAGCTGATTAGTCCTACATAACTAAAACCGTTCTTTACTGGCAAACGCAGTTATCTCCCTTGGTATCTGAGAAGCTTAAATACTAACCTAGGTAGCGTTATACGTCTGTGGCCATTTCTTCTCTCTTCTCAAAACACAGAGGATTATCCTTGTAAAGAACCACATAAGTAAAAAACTCGAGGTATCTCACAAGGCTCGTAATGGCCAGAACTTCCCAGCCCTGCGTTCAAAGCAGCTACAACTCGATCTCCACTCGGACCCAAGGCGGGGAGAACAACAATCTTAAGAACCAGCAACATCAAAAGAAATAGAAAAAGCTGGGATCGATAGCCTGGGGCGAAGCCACCGACAGACACCTGTGCAGGGAAGAGCACAGGGGCGCTGCTGCCGCTGCCAGGCCCGGCCCTCGAGCACAGCCCAGCCGAGGGCCCGGCCGCAGCACCGGGCCCTAGCTCGGTTCTCGCCGCTTCCCCGGGCGCCCCGGCCCGGGGAACCCCCCCGTTCCCGCCGGCGGCCCCCGCCCTGCCCCGGCCGCGCCGCTCCAGGGCCGCGGCCTAAAGATGGCGGAGGCGGCCGCGCTTCCCCGGCTGCTCCCCCGCCCCGCCCGACACTGAGCCGGACTCACCGCCCAGCCAGCCTCTCGTACCGGGACTCCGCGCCCCACGGACACCTCGCCGCCCGCCTCGTCCTCCTGGCTCCGGCAAACTCCGCCGCCGCCGCCTCACGACCCGCGGCCGCCCGCCATCTTCCCTCCGCCTCCCCCGCCAGCAGCGCACGCGCCCCACGCCAACGCGCACGCGCGCTACGCCAGGGCGCGCGGGCGGGGATGCCGCTCCTAAAGGGCCCAGGGCGGCAATGCGCGTGCGCACCGGGGGTGGGGCGGGCCGCGCGCCCCTTCCGCGAGCCGACACGGCCGGCGCACCAATCACAGGGCGAGGGCGCGCAGAGCGGCGCGCATGTGCAGAGTGCCCGCCGAGGCTGTTCCGCGTGTGGCGGCGGCAGAGGGGGCGCCGAGGGTCCCTCAGAGCCGCCGGGCCGGGATCCGCCCGCGAACACTCCCGGGCCCCGCCGGGCTGGGATCTGTCCCCGGACACTGCCCGGACCCGCCGGGCTGGGATCTGCCCCCGGACACTCCCGGGACCCCCGGGCCAGCCGGCTCCAGCTTGGCAAAAGAGGCACTGCCGACGGCCAGAGCGATAATTCCTTCCGGGCACGGCCGTGTTGAGCGCTGCTCCGTGACAGTTGTCAAGCTCAGCAAACGCCCAGGCAGAACAGGACACTCCGCCTGCTGGGGCTCCCACAAATACCTTTGGAGCTGCTGCCCAGGCAGGCGGTGGAGCTGCCCTCTCTGGAGGTGTTTAAGGGAAGACTGGAGGTGGCACTCAGTGTCATGTTCTAGTTGGCAGGGTGGTGTTCGCTCAGAGGTTGGACTCGATCTCAGAGGTCTTTCAAACCTGGTCAATTCCGTGATTCCTTTCTTTGTCCCTGTTCCCGGGCTTCAAAACACAAGTAAAACCTACTAATCTCAAGGTTTGTAATAATCTATTTGTGTTGGATAGTGCAAACTCCTGAGATCATTTACAGATCACTAGGTCTGTTACACTGCTCCTAAGGGTGCTTACAAAGTTGTCATCAAGTAGTAACATTAGTGTAGACAGAGAGGTGCAGAATGGCTTTTTTCCCTGAATTAGTTTTGATTAAGACCTAAGAGTCTGTGTGTTTAGATGAAAATGTCAAAGCTGCTTGAACAGAAACATTTTACAGAGCAAACCTGGTTCAGCAGGGGCAGCTACTGGGAAGCATATGCTGTACCCAAAGGGGGCACTAAGCTTTATAAAATAAAGATTTGCCACCTTGGTTTTTCTTCCTCAGAATTATTCTGATGCTGGTAAAGTTCCTGTGGTCGGTTCCAGATGCATGTGTGGTTTAAAGGCCTGCAGGAGCCACTGCCACCCCAGTTCCTACACAAATCTCTTTGAAGTACTGTGCTCCAGGTGAGGTGAGCCCAAACCAGAACAGCATCTCAGCACAGCAGCAACATTACATTTCTAGTAAGACACAGAAGAATATTTTATTTGTCTCCCTTTTGCAAGACCAGTGAGACTACAGCTTATTATCACAAATACACAAGTAATCTTAACACCTGTCTGTCTTTTTCTCCCAACATTCTTTCCTGCAAAATTTTCCTTCTTTCAGGTGTGGTGGTAAAATTACAAGGCTTGAAAGAGCTTATTTTAGAAGTTTACCCTACACAAAAGAACATTCCTTTCAGATAAAAGCTACCAATCTGTGAACCTCCCAGCAGCTGAGCTCTGGTAGCACTGGGTGTGTGACTCCCACAGGCTGCACCAGGAGCCAGCCCTCCACTGTGTCCTGTTATTTATGGTTTGGTTTCATCTCAGCTTTAGGGTACTTATAAGGAGTTCATCCCTCCAGGGGTGGATACCTGGCTGTGTTAACATCAAAATTATTTGGTTTCTTCACCTTTTTCTTTCTGGAGCAGGATGGAGATTGGGTGTCTGCAATGGAACAGAACAGGGGAGCAGAGAGGGAGATGCTGCCTCAGTGCTTTCTCACTGTGATGGCAGTCACACCTCTGCACTGGGGTTATTTCACTCTTGGAGTCCCCAGATCTCCAGGATATATTCATTAAAAAGCTCCTCATTAACAAAATTATAATATGTAACCAAATGTTTATAAAACACACAACTTTAATTAAAAATATCTTTTAATTTACACTGAACAATAATAGAAAAATATTGAAGCTGTAAAAATTCACTGACCCGCTCAAACAATAAAACAAACAAACAAAAAACACCACAGATACTGATGCTGCTCATCACTGAACCTTCTGAGAACCAAGAACAAGTTTCTGCATCCTTTAGAAGTTCCTAAAAACACAAAATCACATCCACATTTCTGCTAAAACTCAAAAACGTTGAAGATTTACAGCCTGGGAAGAGGGATTAGGGAAGAAACAGATACTTCAGCCACTGGGAAAAGTTCTTTCAGGTTCTTTGCTCTCTCAATTCAGGGGGTCCTTGCCAACACATGGAACAAACCTAAAGGACAATGCTGATCTCCAGTCTGAAGGCACCTGTGGCAACACAGCACTGGAGCACCCTGCAGCCACAAGTACCCTGGCTCAGCTGGGAGCTGGGCTGATCCAGAGGGCTGAGAAACAGCCCAGGTCCTCAGGATTCTGTGCTCACAGGAAGGGGCTGAGGGTTACCCTCAATACTGGAAGCTGCGTTTAGTCTGGATGTCATCGAGAATCTGCTGTAACTCTTCATCCTCAAACCGGCCCTCCAGGCTGCAAGGGAACAGTGAGGAGGCATTGAAGGGTTCAGAAATGATCTGCTAAAGGTTTCAGAAATGATCTCTCCCCCTCGATTCATTTCAGTCATAACTCTCTCCTGTCAGTCTGAACACACCACCTCCCACCTGTGTGACCACCTGTAACACCCCTGTAAGAAGAGTGCTCCAATCCCTATGCACTGCTTCTTCTTTACGTGACAAAACTCCATTCTTCCCAGCAATTTCAAAATGTGTTTTCGAAAAAGGCAAGGCAGGTGTAAGCAGACCTCTAAATGAAGTCCATGTAGCTGCATGCTCATAAGCCAGCCCATTCTTGCTATGAAATTTAACATAAAATCATGGAATGGTTTAGGTTGGAAGGGACCTTGAAGATCATCCCATTCCAACCCCTTGCCATGGACACCTTGCACTAGACCAGGTTGTTCAGAGCTCCATCCAGCCTGGCCTTGGACATCTCCAGGGATCCAGGGGCAGCCACAGCTTCTCTGGGCACCCTGTGCCAGGGCCTCACCTCCCTCACAGGGATGAATTTCTCCCCAGTATCTAATTTAAATCTTCTCTCAGTTGAAGTCATTCCCTCGTCCTGTCACTACTCCTGTAAAAAGTCTCTTTCCATCTTTCTTGTTGGCTCTTTCCAGGCACTGGGAGCCCACAATAAGGTCATCCCAAAGCCTTCCCATTTATATAATGACAAATAAGGAAGAAACTGTAATTCAGATGAATGTTTCACTCCCTCCTCTATCTCAGGCCATGAGGTAACCAACCAAGACATGCAGAAGCTACTGCTCTCCCCCACAGTATCCACAGAACAGTTCATTTGCCCCAATGGGAAAAACTGCAAGGAACACAAACACAGCCAGCTAAGAACCCAAATTTAAGAGGTTTACACTTGAAGAGAGGGTACCAGGGCATGGCTGGCTGTCGGTCACAGGGAAGTGACAGCAGCCCTTGTACAATGTGGAAGTGCTTACCTGGGAATCAGAGCTTTTGCTTCCTCAGCTGTCTCAGGACACAAGTTAGCCAAACATGCCAGTTCAAACTTATGGAGCTTCTTCTGCAGCAGTAAGCTGTAAGGGAACACAGCAATTTGATGGGATTACAAGACAGAAATATAAAGGGGCTTAAACTGAAGCAAATGCTTTTCTTTTTGCACACTGCTTCTGGCACTGAAGTAATTTTTTTTCAGCAGAAAAGACTCATTATATAAATGCATAGAGGAAAAAATAAAGTCCTATCTGCTAACTCAATTTCCCCATAATAATTCTGCAAAGTCTAGAAAATCCTCCCATTTAATGCAATCAGCTGTCAGTGAAATTCTGAAAACAAAGCACTTCAGAAGGCTTGACCTGGACAAAGCATAACCCTACATCAAGAACTTCTTGCCTCAAAGACTCAATTAAAGAACAAATCACTCAACACCACTAAGATGTACTTTTGTTAAAAAATGCTGGTGTTAGAATGGTAGGTGCTGCTGCCTGTTTCTTGTCCCCAACAAACCTCTCCTGTTGAAAAGCAAGTTGAGTTAACATTCAGGCAATGCAGTCAAATCTCCACTCAACACTCACTGCAACTGGCTCAGCAATAGAAGCAAGAAAGGCTCTTCTGCAAGGTTTTATTCCAGCAGGGTAACACATTAGAGCAGGCAGCTTAAGAAAGGGAAGGGGAAGGAGGCAGAGCTAAGGGATCCAGGGAAAAGAGGGGTGGCCACCAGGGATGCCAAGCCAGTGACAAGACAGGGGAAGGAGAAACCAGAGAAGGTGTGACACAAAATTCCATTTGAGAATCTGTTTTTCCCCCAGGAGGGCTGACTCTATGGTGTGTAGTTACTGGTGTTTCCAGGGCTGGGGACTTGGGATT